TACTGTTGACTTCTTTCTCCACTGGACACCAACTAACTATTTAAGTTGATTTGCATACAAAGCAGAGCTTGCAACATGATAGCTATTCATAAAGGGTGTTTTTTTTTTACTTTTCATATAATACAGTAGTCACACAATGAGGCAGTTCATATTTGTCTCAGTGAATCATTAATTTTTGACAGACACCTGTACAAAATACTTGGATAAAAGCCAGCTAAGATTTTCTGTTATCTTGCATGTTTTATGAATCTATTCACGTCTAAATGCAGCACTTTTTTTTTGCGATGAGGCATTTGTTTTTATACTAAAATATCTGAATTACTTTGAATAAAGCTGGAAATTATGCCCCTTAAAATAATTAAACAAATAAGGCACCAATGTTTTTGTAAGATATTTACATCTTTAAAGGACATTCGGGAGACTGATTCCCCACTGTTGGTTCAACCCCAAAACTTGTTTGTATTCAAAATTAATTATGACAATGCATATTTATATTGAAACAAAATATGTTAAAGGGAATTATATTATATAACAAAGGGCAAGGTCACCAGAGTTCAACTATGTTTTGTTTTTGTTATAATTAACAAATCTAAGATGGCTACCACCCCTGATTCTGAGACTGAGCAAGAGCTCACACCAGCTCAAAAAAACCTAGGAAATCTTCTTGTACATTGCATACTTTTCTTACCTGTCATCTTATTTATGTTTGTGTGATCTACCTAATAATTGCTATTCCTGTGTTTATGAATGTGCTTATTATTCATGCTATGCTGTTTGTATTAATTGGGATAAACAATGAATCCCACCAAAACGCTAATTTGACTGTGGAAGACAAGTCTAAAACCTCAACTCATCCATGATGCCTGTGATGATAGTTGTCCTTCATCCTGTTATCTTGACAACCACCTCATCAGTCATAGTCACAACAATTGGTAGATTTTGGTGCTATTCCTGTTTCCATGTCTGTGCTGAACGAGAACATACCAGAGGTTATTCATGTTTAGTATGGCTGTAAGATAGTATGACATCTCCACAAGTGAGTATGGACTCTGTACTGCCTATGTTTTGATGCTTCAAAGTTCCCTTAGACTGGTTGTCAAGACGTTTCAAACATAGTAGTAGTAGGCCAAAACATACTTTCACCCATGTGTGGGTACTGGTTACCACATGACCAAACATACAACAGTATGCCAAAACATACTTGCACCCATGTGTGGGTACTGGTTACCACATGACCAAACATACAACAGCAGGCCAAAACATACTTTCACCCATGTGTGGGTACTGGTTACCACATGACCAAACATACAACAGTATGCCAAAACATACTTTCACCCACGTGTGGGTACTGGTTACCACATGACCAAACATACAACAGTATGCCAAAACATACTTGCGTTAGTGACAGATCACATTACTAATTTTAGTAATTTTTTTTCTAACATGTTATTTTGAAAGAAAAAAAATTGGCTTGAGGTGTTAACAAAAACTGTCAATTGCTGCTACCTAGTGTTAAGCTCACCTATTAATAATATGACTTTGTCATCATCATTTAATAGGATTTTCCATCTTGTAATCTGTTAAATATTTACATGTATCATGTATGCGGCTCTAGAATTGTAGAAGATTGGAAAAAGTAAGATGTACGCGGTGAGATGGCCTTCCAGTCATAACTGTGTGCAAATTCTTCTCAGAATTACAAGAAAACCATTAAAAATAAGATGCACACTCATGGATAATTGGCATTTGTCATTGTTTGGGGAAGTGCAAAAACTAAAAAAAATTCTTAATTCCATCATTATTAATACAAAAAAGACTTAATAAATAAGCTATGAGGCTTGATTGTCATGGGTGGATTGATTTCAAGCAGGGAGGAGCTTTATATTCAAGACTACATTTATCTCTATCCAGGAGGTAGACTAGATTGTCGGGAATATATTGATCCCTAGAAGGGGGCTTGATTGTCTGGATTACATTAATCCCTCACAGGGAGTGAGGCTTGATTGTCAGAAATACATTCATGCCTAGAAGGGAGGGAGGTCTTGAAATCTTGTTAAAAGTAGGGGTGGGACAGAGGAGGCTTTATTGTGAGGAATATATTAATCTCTGGTAGAAATTGAAGTTTGATTGTCAGTAATACATTAATCCATAACAGGAAAGGGGGCTTACATGTCATGGGTGTATTGATCCCTAGCAGAGGGGGACTTAGTTGTTAGGGATACATTCATGCTTGAACATGCCCAATTCACATGTAATGAACAAGCTACAAAGAATGTTGTGATTAAAATGTAATTTAGATTCGCATTTTGATTACTAGTACCCGTGAAAATGTTGGATGGACATGGATAAACAGCTTGACAGTTAGGAGTTAAAGCGGGAGAGTCGTCACCTGCGCACGCGCGAGAATTGAGTCCCAAGCAACGATAACAACACACGCTAAAAACGCGAAGGCTCATGGGTGGAAGCTTGTTTGTAAACAATGACACGCTATGGCCATCTGGGGTATTTAAAACTAAAAATTGGCATTTCAGCTCAGCAGCCAATCAGCGACGGCCTAACGCTTGACAATTTCGGTTTCAAATACCCCGGTTTAGTGTTCTAGGTTCTTCGCGTAATTAGGTGTTCGTATGCAAGGGATTTTTCCACACAAAAACGACGAATTTTGTCATCGGTTGGCTTAATATAACCCCAACGGATCCTATTTTTGTGAAAGATTGGCATTTTTGTCCAGATTTGTAGGAATCTGAAAAACGCGTTTCACAACTTGTCTCTTATTTAGTTGTATGCGTCATTCAAGATGGCGGCCCCCATATAGTAAATATCGTATTTATTTTATTATCACGTGTGCGCCAGCTGACTATGGTTTGTTTGTAAACAATGACACGCTATGGCCATCTGACGCATGCGCAGGTGACGACTCCCCCGCTTTAAATAACTGTAGAACCCGCATCCTAGTAACAATACCGCACCCTAGTAACGATACCGTATCCTAGTAACAATACCGCACCCTAATAACAATACCAGTTGAGAACAACCTGTGAAATTTAACATAATCTTCAAGACGCCAGTAATGGAACTTTTTAAACAACATAAAGTCGATTATATTTGTAAATGTCGTAAAAGTTGTACAGAGAGTTGAACATTTCATAATATTGCATTCCTGGCATGTTTTAATCAAAACAACACTATATATTTGGTTAACATGTTTTCGTCTCACCTGGCGCTAATTGGTGTAACTGTTCAGTAACAACCATTCTTATTATTCTTATGCTTATTTGTTTCTATGAGTTGCGCCCCCTAGCGAAGAAATATTGTTTTTGCAATTTGATGTATAACGAGCAACTGCACAGTTGCTTTAAAGCGCGGTGGTCGTCGCGCAGCGCGTGTTCGAATTTCATGTAAATAAACAATGTATTTTACACGCGCTGTATACGTCGCTATGAGTTTCATATCGAACAGGACGCGGCACGACGACTGCCGCCCTTTAATACACCATTTTTGCTACTTCACGTCACACCAGCGATTCGTCGTTAGAGGGCGCTACACTTCTTGTATTGTTACTCTCATGTCTGCTCCGTTTTGAATATCAAAGCGTGCAAAAATTATTCCGAACACTCACCAAATGAAAAATGTCTGAAAATTTAAAGACCATCGACAGAAGTGTTAAAACAATTTTGAATATGTAGCAGGAAAATACAAAATGTGTAAATACAGTCCTAAATATGTCAATTAATATGAAATTGTTGCAGGTATTAGGGTACCGTATGACTACGGGGGAATTATTGCGAAGTCTTCGAAAAGTGAGTTTTATTCATGTAGAAAGAGACATGCATGCATATATT